ATGTTGGGGTAGAATATGAGTATGCTTTAAAATCTGTATTTAAGACCTAGGTTCCAGTTTGTAGACCACAGCGTATGGACCTGATTATTGGCTTCACGTTTTTTGCTAGGCCACTTCTGTTTATAGTTTGAATTAAAGGGAAATGAAAAGGTCTCTCTCACTTATTCATACAAGATCACATTTAAATAATTACCAGTAAATAAGACGCATTAATAAAGCAAGAGTGGCAGTACTGCTTTAGGTCTGTGCAGCATGGTCTCATCAAACATGAAAGAATATCTTCCAGTTCTGCAATGTTTGCTCTGCTGTGGACAAACAACAGCTGTTCAAAGGTAGCTGCTGTTATTTATGATGTGATATGCCCTGCATAGATAAAACACACATAATTTTCTATATTTTGCTTCAGAGTGAGTGCAGAAGGAGCTGGTGTGTGCTGTAAAATTACAGGCAGAGCAAAAGAGTTGGGATCTCCCATGAAGCAGTACCCTGGGTCTGCATACCTTACTGAAACTCAGGTTTTCAGCTGTGTGTCACAAGGCAGCGGGGCTTAGGCCACGGCGTGGGCTGTTCAGCCAGAGCTTCTGTCTGTCCCTGTGTGGTTCGTGAAGCTCTCAGCCCTTTTCAGCCATTTGGTTTGAGAGTATCAGGCTGAATGACAGTCACGTTACATGAGAACTGTACAAGTAGATACGCTCAAACAAGAGACCTATATGGGTGTTAAAATAGTGTGGCACAAGCAGCATCCATGTTGGGCTCTCCAAGAGACCACTCACTGTGGTTGACCTAAGTACCAGCTGGTTGATCCAGCGGGTAGTTTAGAGACCACAGAGGGAGCTGAAGATAATGCAGGAGGTCAGGGAGATGCCAAGGAGATGCCAGGCTTTGCCATTTCTATTGCTTATAGAGTGTCTTTTAATGTTTCTCCTCCCACCTTCATCCCGACTACACTGCTAAAATAGATGCAAAATACCTTTAGCTCTTCAATATGGGTGGCACAGATCTCAGTAGTGCTACTCTGTAACTTAACATCCAGTTGAATGTGTTTCAGAAATTCTGTTGTATAGCTAATCCGGTGCTCCCTGAAGTCACAGTAGCCCATCAGCCTAATTATTTATATTGCCTCCAAGGAGGTTAGCAATACTGCCAAGTCAAAGTGGATGATCAGGGCGCTTCGTACACATTCTTTGTTTGTATGTTTAAGATGCAAGACAGCAAAGAAGCAAGGACTGAATCTTCTCTCTTTCATCCATTAAGAACGTGTCTTCTAGAAAAGAATAATGCTGGAAAGAGTTGCTGGACGTCAGCAAACAGGTCTGTTCAGCAACAAAGTCTCTGCGGAGTCTCAGGAGCCACCTCTCATCTCATTTGGACTAAATGAGAAAAGCAATTAGTCTCCTTTTGCAGAGCTGAAGAAGCCTCTGCACATGCACAGAGAAGCCTCTCTGAATGACCTAGGCAAAGGGTGATGGAGCATCAGTTGGCATCTGAACTTCAAAAGCAGGATCTGGCGGCTTAGCCTTCGAAGGGAACAGAAATCAAGAGTCTTGGCACGCAGAATGCTCTGCAAATCTGGGTTGGATTTCTGAACAAAGAGCCAGCCTTCTTTCTGTTACCATTATGCTGAGGAAACAAAATGGTCTGTACGATCGTTGTGAACAGAAATCTCTGGCTCATATCTCAATTTCTGCTCCTTGCAGATGGTAAACTGCAAGATAGAGTTGCAGTTTTGATGCGCTATGGATTGTGATCTGGGAGGCTTTGTTGCTGTTAAGTCAGGACTGTTCCCGGTGTGGAGTGTATGCCCTGCTTCCTCCACCATTGATGTTTTAAGACCTGGGATGTAAGGAAGGACTTTGCTTTAATTTGTCTGCTAATCTTAGTGCCTACTCTGGTCTTTGCTTCCATTTAATCCGGAGCATAGTTGCCCTTTGAAGAAATATTGCTGTGATTTAGCTTTTTAAACAAATTCCTCGGGAATTAAAAAATGCATTGATGACAGGCAAAGCGTATACAGTAGAAGCGGGACTGTTACATTTTATAACCCATTCAAGCCCTTTCTTTCAATGTACTACAGATCAGATTTTAGATAGTATTTTCCCGTAACATTCATAGATCTCAGCCCCTCCCGTGGAAATAAGGAAGACTCTGATCAAAACAATCTGAATCTCTCTCTTCCTAACCATGAGGCAAAATGTCACAGAAAAGCATAATTTTATTGATTTTTAATCTTGAAAGAATTATGACATTTAGTTGTTTATTTATTACCCTCAATGGGATGGAAAGGGATTGACAATCACTGATGCAAATAAAGGAAAGATACGTACAGACCGAAAACAGGCTTGCAATGTGGCAGCAATGTTTGGAAAGTGAATTCAAGAAGCTGAGTAACCACACCTTCCCAAGCTCTGATGTTGCAACAGCTCTGCTGTTGTTAGCATTTCAACCAGTTCAGGTATGTCTATTTATCAAACCGCAATCACACTCTTGGATGATAGCACCGACATGCCTACAGATGATAGCAGCTCTGGTATTGGGAGTGAAATAGTTTTGGCACCCTGCAACACGAGAATTCATCGTCTGATATATCCCTGCAGATATGGCGAGCACTTCGGCACGTACACAGGGATCTCACACGGAGCGACAGCGAGGACTGGAGCTTGATGGAGTGATATATGAAAAACAGGCCTGTGTTTTTCATTTCTCCCATTCTGTCTTTTAACTCCAGTGAAAACTACGTTATTCATAAAACTAAGTCACATAGTGCCTCAAATCCAAACAGGTCTGTAATTTTCTCCCCATAAAGTGCCTAGCTAATTAACTGCGAATGCAATTAGTTTTGAGTCAACATCTTTCTAGGCCTTAGCTGGGACCTACACTGTGTCTCAAACAGGTGCATGGTCTCAGTTACGGGGGGACTAGGACTTAAGCTGTGTCTTACCACACCTTAAGTGGGCAATGTGGACACAGCCAAAGCTGAATTAAGACAGGTCAGCCGAGCCACAGTAACCAACGTGGGATGTTAGCATGAACTTCGGTGGGAGAAGTTTCTATGGAGATTCTGTCATTTGGGTTGGGCTAAAAGCCACTCAGACAATTAGTTGTTGCAGCTCAACTTAGATGGGAGACTTCATGTAACCTGCCTAAGCTTGGAAATAACAAAAGCCAACCAGTGGAAGATGCAATGAGCATGTAAGTTTCTGAACTGTATCAGGTCTCACTTTCCTTATGCAATGTGGTCCTTGGTTATGCCACGCTCCTGTTGAGATGTGTCCATCAAGGTAGTCTAGTCAACAAACTGAAAACAGCCAGCCATAAAGGAAATGCTAGATGGTAAGAGGAGTGATGTGACCTGTGGTGGCACAGTCATTTCTAGAAGCTATCACAGATGGTTACAGCTCAGATAAGAATTAAGGTGAATCATGCCATAGACATTCCTATCATAAGGACTTAGGCCAGCTTTTCACCAGCATGGCCAAGCCTTTCTCATATCAAGCCTTGCTTAGGACTGAGAAGTGGTTCCTGTAAATGTCCCCTGAAACATGGCAAATACTTTCATGATAAAATTCAGTGCCCTTTTGCCATAAACTTAAAATAATTAATACTGCTTTTCAAAGTGGATTAAATAGTTTCCACAGTCATAAGACTGTGCCCAAAGCCCACAGCAGCTGTCAGCAATGACTTCCTCCCCAAAGCAGGGCCTGAACTGGCTCTAAATTAGCACATGTATAAAGGAAGAACAGCTAGGCTGACTATCCTTGTAATTAAAGCGATAGAGTATATGGAAATTGGCTTGCCCATGCTCGGATTGTTCAAACAGAAATATTCAACATAAGAGAGTCCTCCAGAACAAGAAAGTCTGCATGCCAGTGATGAGCGACCCTGTGAATCATCCCTGCACACAGCATACTACGGGGCAGGCCAGAACTGCTGTTTCTACGCCACGTTACTTGCTGAAGACCTCTAAATATTTCCTCATTTGTTAAAATGGAACTATGGCATTAATTTAAGGCAAGGTTTTTTTCACTGCCCATCACTGCAAGATCTCCTAGGGACTCCATTTAAATCAGAGGTGGTGGGAGGTCGAGGAGCAGCAGCTATTTTGGAACTACTGGTTAACGACTGATTTCTTCCTGCAGCTAAACACTGTGCTCCAAGTTTTTGAAGTAATGCTAATATACAAAAAAGAGAAGGTTACAAGTGCACTACATGGCAGATGCACGTGAGGATGATCCTATTTGGCTTGACACCAAAAAAAGTTTTACAGAATGTTTTGCTAAAAGAAAATTACCTTCGAATATAGAAAAATGACTCAATGTGAAAGGACGACATTTTCCCGACTGCTATTCTTTTGTCAAAAAATATGTGCAAAATGTATTCAGTTCTTCATTAATCCCACATGAAAAAAACAAAAATGTATGCTTGCATGTGGATTTTATATATTTAGGAATATGTTGGCTAAGTTAATAAATTATTAATTTTTAATTATTAAAGCATAAGCACCAATATGAAAGCATGAGCATCTTTAAACTGAGTCAGAATTTGTTTTTACAATACAACTAGTATATTTAAAAATATCAATAACCAAGAAAAGCTTTAAAAACATGAAGTTAGTATTTGACTGAGGATCTCTTCAAGTTCCCCTGGAAGCTCTCATTTTACAGCTTCCATTTTAGAAGTTTATACTCAAGTCCAAGTTTGTGAATAATTTTAGGGGAGCAACACTAAAGAGAAAATAAGAAATTATAACAAACACACTCCAACTAGCATGGCTATTATGAGCAATTATCCAAAAGATATATACCTCTTTAGAAACTGCAGAAATACTTATCTAAACACTCTTGAATGCTTCTCATGAAACAGTAGCAACAAAAATAACACCAGCAAGCATTTCTAAATAAACAAGCATATTTTAAAAGGGGTTGGGGCTTAGGTTTTGATTTGTTTTGTTTTTTTTTTAAAGAATCACGCCCTAGAAATAAGCCAAGGCAAAGGTCACTTACCTCTTACATGGACTAGAAGAAAGCCAAGGCACAAAAGAAGGATACTTCGGAATTTCCCCATAGTCTTCTATGCAGTGCCTTGATTGCACACGTTGTTTTTTTCCAAGCGATGGTGGTAGGTGTCGCAACTGCAGTGCCAAGGTTTGAGGGAGAACACTTGGAATCAGCAGCTCTGCCCAAAGGCTTCTCTCACCATCACACTCAAGCACCACGGAAGAGAGGGAAGTCCCTAAAAAAACCTCCTGTAGTACAAGACAAGTAACAAAAGCAAACAACCCCACTACGGCCAAGCCGTGAGCAGCACCGTAGGTGCCACCCACCCTCTAAGAAACCTATTTATCGCCCAGGCAGGGAGCGTGGAGAGCCGGGGAACTGGCGGCAGCACCCAATGAGGAGGGAGCCAGCACCCTCTGAATCCACCTCCTTCCCCGAGGGAAAGCCAACCTGTCTGACATCCTCACCTTCAACGCGGGGCGTGGTGCTGCGGGAGCTCCAGCAGTCTGTGAGAGGAGACCGGCCTTCTCTGAACCCTACGTGGAAAAAAAAATCTCTCAGGTATACTCTGTCCTCCAAGCGCTGCTTGCCTTTTCTGTTTTTGGCTGGGCAATAACCGCTGAGAAAGGCAATCCTGTCAGGGACCTGACCGCTCACTCAAGCTGCTGCGTTAGGGGAGCGGAGGCCACGAATCTGCTTTGCAGCGACTTGGGAATTGCCTACAGAGGGATGACAAGAAAACCTAACTTTATAAACTTAAAATGTGATGTCGGTCTATTGAACTGAAGTATGCTCAGCTCCCCGGTGGATGCTTATCTTCACAAGGTAATAATTGTCATGATTTTTTCCATTGATCTAGATATATTTTTAAATATAAATATCCATGCATAGCCTACATGGAGAGAGATCTCAGATAGTGGTGAGTGTGAGAACACAAAACTTTGGAAAATGAACAAAAAATCACACATCCATCCCTCCATGAACATACTTTGAAATCACTGATGCGATTTAAACCCAGTTTTATCATACCCTCTCTCGAGCAAACGACGTATGCCAGCACACTCGTCTCTTGAACTGGACTGCCGCCCTCACACTGGTGCCCAGTGCCAGCAAGGAGACTGGTGTGTGACCTCTCTTGTGCTGGGGGTGCAGCTGCAGGCGCTTCTGTCAGCGCCGCTTGGACAAGGACAACAAATACGCTCGGGACTCTGCTCCCATGAACGGCCGATCTGTATGCTCATGGTGTTGCTGGGTGATCCAGCCTGATGTGGGGCACAGGCTGGCCCCAGTTCTCTGTTACCTAGAACATACGATACAGTGCCTGCACTGAATTCATCCTTTTATGCTAACTACAAAAACTTGATGCAACAACATAAACTGGACTGATAGAACCCGTTGATATTGGATCTTCAAGAAGCTTGATGTTCAAGCAGGTCAGCTCTGCACACACACATACCCCCCTGTCCCGCCAAATTTGAACCAGGAGAATGGTTTATAAAGGCCTGGCTTATTGTATCACATAGCTTAACTATTTTTAAGTTAGTAATACAAGCTCTAAAGCTCAATTTATATATCATCATTCTCCTTGTCAAGGCCAATTGCTCAATCTCAGAAGAGTTAAGGACATTCAGGTTGAAAAGGTGGCTCCCTCGGCCAGTTATAACAAGAATTATGCCATGACATAAGCTATCCCGTAAGTTCACTGTTTATTTTTTTTTACACAATAACAAGAGCAGGCATACACGTGCTAATCTTCGTATCAATGATGAATTTGCCTGAAGGGAACAGGAAAGTTAGCAAGGCTATCACAGAATCACAGAATTAATT